CTCAGATCCATGTGAGCCCAGCCTCGGGAGCATGGAGGTGTTGAAACACATAGCCCTCCTTTGACCGGATGCCCCCACTTTTGGTAGCTCACCCATCGGCCAACTCCCACACCCTCCAACCTCGACCCGCGTTCACCCCGAACGCGCACACGCACGCCTCATCAAAGGGCGGTTTCCTTACGCAGTGGGGTGGATGTGGGACTCGGGTGGGAAAGGGTTATGCAGGGGAATAGGTGACCGGGGTTGCTAAAGAGGACACACACAAACCTCTCTTTCAGGACTCCTCTTCCTCTTCCCTTCATCCTCACCCTAGTGTATCCTTGCTGTGGCCCCTCCAGTCATCCCTCCTCTCTCTCTCTCTCTCTCTCTCTCTCTCTCTGCTGTAGCCTGTGTTTACTCTGCTAGAGAGAGAGAGAGAGAGAGGGCCCAGAGAAGGGACAATGCCGCCTTTCAGAGAGACTGTCGACCCCACGGCTGAGCAAGGAAGTCTGCATGGGGGGCCAGCCAACACCCCTTCCACAAACTTCACAGCCATCCGCCACTGAGCTTTACACACGCACACACACACTCGCATATCACGCCAACACCATACTCCTTCCTTCACTGTATATCATTCTTTCTCTCCGTCGCCCTTTTCTCTTTGTCTCACATTTCCCACAAACCCTCCTCTCAGTGGCTGTTGCTGTTTGGAGGACGTAGTCGAGATCCCGTAACTTCAGTCCAAGATCCACACGCTGTGAGTCACTTCCCAGCTGGTCTCTACTATTTCTCCACTAAGAAATAATCGTGAGGGTGGGCTGAGGTGAAATCCAGCAGTGGGGGACTGATTCACCAGAAGCTGTGCACTCGCCGGGCCCCCGCAGGGAACACATTAGTGCGGGATTGACTGCCTTGGGTGAAGCGGGTATTGTAGATGTCTTATGACCTGCTGAGTTTCCTCGGAAGTCTGAGTGAGTTTGTTTGTCATGCCTGTTTCCTTGAGAACGCGCACACAGAGATATGCAGACCACTGTGAGCCGATATGCAAGCAGTACGCCATGCTTTCAGCTACCTTATCTTCATCCTGGTATTGTGCACAGTTGCGACTAATAAATCACCGTAGATATTTATTTCCTTTTAATTCATACTCAACAGCCTCTATGAAAAGACATAATTGTGCTTTAGTTCAACATTATAAGAAGGGTAAATATGCTGTAGGGCTGCAATTAGTTCCATTATCAATTTATCTGGGGATTATTCTAGAGACAGACAGACAGAGAGACAGATAGATTTACTTTTTTAATCCCAAATTGGGAAATTATATTTCTACAGCAGCAACCCTAACAGTGAATACATTACATACAACACTAGAGATAGAGATCTACAGAATACACAGTATAACGAATACACTACAATACACTGCAAATACACCAAGCCACAACAAATAGAATATGAACTATAAACATACTATATAATATATACATTAGAAATAATTAATTCTACTTTAATCGGATTTGGCTTATAATATGTCAGAAAATAGTGAGAAAATGCCCACCATGAATTCCCAGAGTCCATGGTGATATCTTAAAAAGTGCTTGTTTGGAAAAGTAAGAACATTTCCAAAACTGGAAATATGACACTTTTGCTTGAAAAGTCAAAATTGTTGCTGAGTAATTTTCCGTTCGTGGACTAATGGATTGATCGACTTATCTTTTCAGCTTTAATATGTTGAAGTGAACACGTCAGTAAAAACACACACATAACACACATACTTACTTCGCATTAAAGGGACAAAATGGCTAAAATGTTTACTCTATTACAGCTCACTGCAGATTTAAACATGCAACAGGCTGAATGATACCAACAATGTTCTTCATTATAACGGGGAAAGGACACATTTTTAATAAATTGGCTATACATTCTATTATGGAGGTTTAGTAACGGTTTGCACGTGGAGCCACCACCTGAGAGGAGCTTTTGTGTGTGGAGACTCTTGTATTGTCTCTCCGCTGGTCACACAGGGAGAGCTGTAGGATCACGCGTTGATCACATTTGAGGTGCCAAAATGGGTCATCTTCCACATTTATAAGGATCAAAAAAAGTTCCATATCTGTTTCTCATCATGTTTTACAGCCTTGATTATAGCACGGCCAGTTTCCTGTTTGTCCCTGCAGCTGATAGGAGGAGGATTTATAGGAAGGTTAAGCTGATTCTCGGTCTCAGGGTAAGAGCTTTTACTCGATCAAAGTGGCTGACAGACGATTTTATGCTACTTTGGCCAAACAATAAAGCCAAAAGTCTTGGCAGGCTGTGTGGTAGGAGTTACAGTAAGTTAGTCATACGCACCCAATCCAGAGAGATGTGGTATCAACCACTGCTTGTTCTAAATGAGGATCACATCCGCTCTGACTGATCTAAACATGTTTATTTTCACAGCTAATGGCAGTGCTTGCCCACATAACAAACTCTTAGAGCAACAGCCAGTAATACACTTTTATCATTACTGGGTTCAACTGATGGAGCTAACAATAATACATTAAGCATGTGTCAGGGTACAATGGATACATTTAGCAAAGGATGGAGACATTATTAGACGGTGAAGAAGGGACACATACACCCCCAAGAGACAAACACAAGCGGGCCTTACTGTATCTGTTAATTGTCAAAATGGAAAAAAGGGATGGGTCGACATTTTTAGTTATTGGCTGCTCTAATCAATCCTCCTGCTGAGATCCCTCCGAAGAGCAACTGAAGAAAATTGATGTCAAGATCAAGATGAACCGGTGGGTCATGTGCTAGCCTAGTGGGGTCTATAGTCAGATACAATCCAAAGGAAATTTTTGCCTAATACGATTCTCTATGTGCATGTGGAAACATACATGTATATATGTATGTGTATATATATATATATGTACGCATCAAAACAGAAGGAGCTCACTGATAATGCCATAATGCAGCCCTGTGTGCATGTTCATACAGTATGTTCCTCTGTTTGCATCAGTACATGTGTGTATCATCATCCTCTTATCTATGGCTGATTGAGTCTTTACACCCCCTCCTCTCCCTCTGGTTGTGTGTTCAACTGTGTGTGTGTGTGTGTGTGTGTGTGTGTGTGTGTGAGCTGGTGGCCATCCCTCGTTGGGCTGGTGAACCTGCTGACCTCTCTGCTCCGTGCCTCCCAGACACAAGGGCTTCTCATGTGGCCCCTGGCCAGTCGCTCTCAAAGCGCACCATTCACCACCAACCGGGGCTTCTGTGAGTGTGTGTCGGCATGTGTGTGTGAGAGAGAGAGGGAGGAAGAAGGGGGTAAATTTGTTGAAATTACAGTTTGATTAATTGCTTGTGTGCGTGCGTGCGTGCGTGCGTGCGTGCGTGCGTGCGTGTGTGTATCTACACTCAACATGCACACTGGGAGCTGCTCTACATGAACTCCAGCAGAAAAAAAGGACACCCTGCAACTGTGTGTGTCGACGGAAAATGCTTTGAGGAGATGTGTGTGTGTGTGTGTGTGTGTGTGAGGCCGGGGAGAAGGAGCAATGAACCCTAACACATTGTGTTGAATAGAGAGCTCGGCTTTAAACCAGCAGTACTGTACTAGCACCGCCTATATGTGCGGAGCAGAACACGCTGGATGAAGAGGAGTAGACGCAGCATTTGTTGACATTTAAGTGGACAGGAATGTCTATACTTCATTGCAAGGTACAACACAGGGACGCTGGCTCAGTCTGGTGGCAGAGGAAGACGACAACTAAAACTCAAGATGACAGTAAGATGAAACTGGGTCCAGAGGCCAGTGTGTTTAGAGGAGGGAGGAGGTGGAGGGAGTAGGTGCAGCTGGACTTGAAGGCCCCGGGAGGGGGTCGCTGGTGGGTCTCAAAGGTCCATGGGGTCTGAAGGTGCACACTGTGGGGGGTGATGTGACAGGGTGCAAGGGCCGGTGACTGGCCGAGGGGTGGGGTTAAGCAGAGCTGGCGGTGAGGGTGACCATCTGGATTTGATTGTAGAAATTCCTCAGGAAGAGTGTGCGAGTAAAGGTCAGCGTGGAAGAAGAGGAGGGGGTCACTCAGATCTCTTATGGTTGTGTGTGTGTTTGTTTTTTCTTTGGCTTACTCAGTGTGTCAGTTTACGATTGTGGTCTGTTTACCATTGTCGGAGAGTATTTCTTAACCAGTGGGAGTGTGAGATACTTTCTACAACATTCACGTGGGAAATATTGCAGGTTTTGAGAATCTGTCACTGTCCCACGTCGGAACGCAGCGCTTCATTGTATGTGTGGTTTTATGGAAACCAAGCTATCCTTCATTGGCCCCACTCGGCCTAACTCTGCCCCTCTGTGACTGTTTGTGCAGGTGGGAGGTCAGCGGTTTGTGGTCATGCTGTCCCTGGACGAGCCCCTGGACCTGAAGCTCCCTCGGCGGCCGAATGGGTGGGACAGAGGGGCGCGCTCTCCCCCCATCTCCCCGCTGCACCCCAAGCGAGCTCGCCAGCTCCGCATGGCGGACGATGGCACCGCAGTCATAGAGCCCGCCTCGCCGGCATCTCCACACACAGGTAACAACAAAGCAAGAGTCTGCAGTCATGACTTCAGCTCAGCTTAAGTCTGAACAAAAGTGGTGGACTAACAGAACCGCTAGAGCCCCCATATCAAATCCCAGAGGTGAGAGGTCTTCTTAACAAGTGTGTGTGTCTGTGTGTGTTTTCTCAGGTGTGCAGGTGGTCCCCCATGATCGGGCAGACACCCCCACACCCCCTGCGGTGGACCTGAGCATGTCTCCCTCCTCTCGCCACACCACCAGCTCTCCAGAAATGACCAACGGCAACTACATCCCCTCAGGAGTGAGTATGACTAAACTAGGGCATTCGTAGTCGACTTACACTCGTACTATTTTGTCGAATAGTAAATTGATCGATAAAGAACGACTAATCGACCAAAGAAATCAAATAATGAGACCAAAACGGTCAATAAGTCAACTAATCGACTAAGAGGTGGCAGCCCAAGACTAAACTTGAACTGACCGACTTACACACCTTATTTTGCCCTCCACTACCTCTATTGTCTCTTCGTTAACCTCTGAGTTGTTGAAAGAGTAAACACTGTCTCAATGCAGTAAACACTGTCTCCTGTCTACAGCGGTGACTCAGCCTGCTGTTGACAGCAAGTCAGGAACAACATCGGGTTGTGTCACACCCTCCATAAGGGAATCAGGCTTTGCAAGGGGTGGGAGGCTTGTGTGTGTCTGTGTGTGTGTGTGTGTGTGTGTGTGTGTGTGAGAGAGAGAGGGGGGGGTAGCTCTTATCAAACACCTCTTGTGTCCCCAACAAATGCCTCTGTCTGCTTAACTTGCACTTAGTGGTCCCACTGGCATGCAAGTGTGTCTCAGTGTGTATGCTTGTGTGTGTGTGTGTGTATAATCAAATTTAAGACTAGGTACAGCCATGCAGACCTCACGCCGCCTAATTCAATTCCCTCCCAATTGAATTGAGACACGCTGACCCACCATCACAGATACTCTACAGTTTACTTATCCCCAGTGGACGCAGATAGGATGCTTTCTGTCCCCACTTTCTCTCTCTCTCTCTCTCTCTCTCTCTCTCTCTCTCTCTCTCTCTCT